TATATCTTTTACAATTAATCAGACGTGTCATTTATAAGTTATATCGTTTACAGAGCGTCACACATGTCATTTATCAGTTATATCGTTTACAAAGTGTCACACGTGTCATTTATTAGTTATATCTTTTACAATTAATCACACGTGTCATTTATAAGTTATATCGTTTACAGAGCGTCATGCATGTCATTTATCAGTTATATCGTTTACAAAGTGTCACACGTGTCATTTATTAGTTTTATTTTTTACAATAAATCACACGTGTCATTTATAAGTTATATCGTTTACAGAGCGTCATGCATGTCATTTATCAGTTATATCGTTTACAAAGTGTCACACGTGTCATTTATTAGTTATATCTTTTACAATAAATCACACATGTCATTTATCAGTTATATCGTTTACAAAGTGTCACACGTGTCATTTATTAGTTATATCTTTTACAATAAATCACACATGTCATTTATAAGTTATATCGTTTACAGGGCATCACACATGTCATTTATCAGTTATATCGTTTACAAAGTGTCACACGTGTCATTTATTAGTTATATCTTTTACAATAAATCACACATGTCATTTATTAGTTATATCTTTTACAGAGCGTCACACATGTCATTTATCAGTTATATCGTTTACAAAGTGTCACACGTGTTATTTATTAGTTATATCTTTTACAATAAATCACACATGTCATTTATAGGTTATATCGTTTACAGAGCGTCACACATGTCATTTATCAGTTATATCGTTTACAAAGTGTCACACGTGTCATTTATTAGTTATATCTTTTACAATAAATCACACGTGTCATTTATCAGTTATATCATTTAAAAAGTATCACACGTGTCGTTTATAAGTTATATCATTTACAATAAATCACACGTGTCATTTATCAGTTATATCGTTTATAGAGCGTCACACATGTCATTAATAAATTATATCATTTACAAAGTATCACACGTGTCATTTATCAGTTATATCGTTTACAAAGTATCACACGTGTCATTTATCAGTTATATCATTTACAAAGTATCACACGTGTCATTTATTAGTTATATCTTTTACAATAAATCACACGTGTCATTTATATGTTATATCGTTTACAGAGCGTCACACATGTCATTAATAAATTATATCATTTACAAAGTATCACACGTGTCATTTATCAGTTATATCGTTTACAAAGTATCACACGTGTCATTTATCAGTTATATCATTTACAAAGTATCACACGTGTCATTTATTAGTTATATCTTTTACAATAAATCACACGTGTCATTTATCAGTTATATCATTTACAAAGTGTCACATGTGTCATTTATAAGTTATATCATTTACAGAGCGTCACACATGTCATTCAGCTTAAGATTGTGTAAAGTAAAAATAAAAATGAAGTCTTTGTACTATGAAATCATGTTATTGTGTTTTCGAATCTATGGCTCGCTCACGTTCTTGTATGAAATCTCGTCTCATCAAATATGGTTTTGGGAGTAAATATTAAATGTAAACATTTTTTTTCAGAATACCTGCGCTTATACATCACAATAAAATGTTCTTTGCATTTTGTGAAGCTCACAAAAATACCGTTACCTCGGCGGGCATTACAGACATCATATTAAAAAAAGGTCGGCATGTCTCGGTAAACACCATAGAGTGGGACGAACCCGAAGTTATTGTTCATATTCCTGGGAGGAGGTTTGTATTCCCTTCTCTTACCTATATCTTTTGGCCATAATTGTATATGTGGTGATTGGAATGTATGAAGTAGAATTCAATTTAAATTGCATCTTCTGTGACGTAAATGATGACATAGGATGTACATATTGTTCTGATCTGTAGTCACTAAACGTTTGAAATTTACTATATATTCAAAATAACGAAACTAAACACAGTTGTGTCTTTGAAAAAAAAAATACTTTCATCTACGCCACTATGACGTAACAGAAGTGCCATGTAAGACAATGCACATAACAATAAATAAGGGACAACAGACTGGCACCAGTTTTATACCAGTTTTATTTGTATGTAGGAAATATTCACATCAAGATGTTTGCATGAGTTTATGTTTTTGTGTGTGTATGAAATTGGGAAATTTCAAAGCATTGGTTTTATCGTTTATATTATGAGTGTCGGTATTTGGGTTATGGTGTTAATAATTAAATCACGAATTTTTCTATGGAATAGTATTTGGTTTTATCATTTTTTACTTTCTTGGACTGACAGTTCTCTAATATAAGACACGTAAAATTAAAACCTTTTGCGAATCCCTTCTTTGTTAGATTTTTTTTTCATTACAGTTGTACGAATCCGACGCCAATCGTAGACCACGAAAGAAACTGCATTATTTTGGTATTCCGAACAACTGATTCTCGTACAGATGAAGAGGGAATTCTAATTTCGGCAGTTTTTAATCAGACCGATATGATGATCGAGGTAAGACGTATTAATTTAGGAAGCCGGGTAATTGGATAGAAGTCATGTAGAATAAACTCTCAAGAAAAGCAATGTTTCAAAAATAACATCATTACACCATAATATAATATTAACATTGTTTGGTCTTCTATCGTTCCATCATGTCGTACAATGCCTTCAAAATTTCACTGGTTACAATTTGCAATAGTGCTTTATATAATACAGTTATGCATATTAATGAGACAGGTTAATTTCCATATAAGGAAATCTCTTGTCAAATGCTTCAATATCGTATTGGTTACGATTTCATATCTACAGCAGTCACTGGTTTATTACAGTTATGCATATTTAATGAGATCACATGATCATATAAGATCATCCGGTATGTTAGTCACATGTCTTGTCCAATTGTCTGTAACAGTGCTTGAGATATTACAGTTATGTATATTAATGAGTTACATGACCTTATATGGAAATGGCTTATCGCCTGCAATTTTGAAATTACATACTGTGTCGGTTAATTTTTTCAAAAATACCACCAGAAATTGAGACGTTCCGAAAGCTGTGCAATTGGTCATTGAATAGGCCAAGATTGTGGTCTGTTCATGTGAAGCAATAGCCTGAACTCTCATCCACCTTTATCATTAGGGCAAATATGAAGCTGATCGGTACAACAGCGTTGACAAAAAGCTTGACGAGAAAATGGCGGAAAAACAATAATAAGCGGAACAATTACAAAAGGGTTTCCATCAATTTGGGACTAAAACCCTAATAATAATTAGATATTGGTGTTCGCTACTGTCATGTTATTACTATTTTTTCGAACACTATTATTATTATTTTTTATCTACAAAGAGTTACGATGACGGGGTTACATGGAGTGAACCTGTCAGTATCACAGAGAGCATTTTGAAATCCGAGCCGCGGCCGGTGATGTTTGTACCAGGTAAGTGCGAACTCATTAGATGGGGCGAAAAGTTATCGTTAGATTACACTCTATGTATAAATTCTACGTAAATATACAAGCAATGAACAGTATATATATATATAACATGAGAAATTCACAGTTCACGAGAAACAGTTAAAATAAAATTAAGCTTTTACATGCTGAGGTGAATTATTGTCTAGGCTCATGGACCTTAGTTTATTAAATGTTTTTTACCTTGCCCGTACCATCAAAGATGGAAGGGTAAGGTATATTAAGGGAAAAATTTTGTCCGGCGTTGTCGTTGTTGTCGTTAATAATTGTTATTGTGTGCATAATAACTTTACTAATTCTATTCCAAACTTTATCA